TAAAAGGGGGAGCTTTATTGTGACGTAGGGACTGCTGTGAAAGGGGCATCGGATGTGAAAGGGGGAATCTGATGTGATGGGTGAAACTACAGATCTTTTTTTTTTTTGCCTGGGGTCCCCCCCCAGAATCCATACCAGGCCCCTGTCAATGATAAGGATATGGTATTGATTTTGAGAAGGGTCCACACACCTTTTTTTACATTTATGTTTTTATACAAAACCACAATACTGGCTGTACAGAATTCCAAATCCTATGACAGGTCATTTATGTGATGTATTTGCCCAGAGTTCCACAAAACAATGTTGTGTTACCTAATTGGTGACTGCTGTGTGTCCAGAGGCTTTTTCTTAGGCTGTTCTATAACCGGCTTATGTAACATTGATGCATTCTGTAACACTGACCAGTAAAAGGGACGGATACAATCTGAAAAGAGACGTGTACACAAACACTATATGGCTGTTTCCTTAATGTGTAATTTGCTTGTGCCACAGGTATGTCACCACGCTGATTGCCAACAAATGAACCAAAAAAATCCATTGAACCTGTGCGAGTCATGTGACATCAAGTTCCACAGCGCCATGCACTTTGATCGACACATACGCTTCGACCTGCCCCCTCAAGGTAAGAAACGCTGCTGTCTTGGATGAACCATCTATGGGATCTGCTGAAATCTGCAGATTATAAATACAATTATTATTTATTATTATTATTTTTGTATTATTATTATTATTATAATATATTTTTAGTATATATTATTATGCAGGATTCATATATTGCCAACAGTTTGCGCATCACTTTACAATATAAGGAAGACATTATAGTTAAAATACAAATCAAGACACAGCACAGTGCAATACGGTTGTACCGAGTCAGGCTGCACTGAAAAAAAAGCGATGCGTGCTGGGTCTCTTTTCAGCGCACACTACCACAACGCGGTGATGTGAACTGAGCCCATCTGTAACAAGGTAAATTGCCTTTACTTGCATTGCGGCTGCGCTTTTTTTTTTTTTTTTGGCTTTACTTCTCTCTTGGGTCACAGGAGTAGATTCACTAATGTACTCCTGTAACCCAAAGTCAGCAGATACAGGGCTATACCTCCTCATGTATCACTGGCCCCTCCCTTTTAGATTGTAAGCCCTCAGGGGCAGGGCCCTCCTTACCATCTTGTCTTGAATTCTATTGTGTCCCCCCCTTTGCACGCACATACTGCACTACTTAAGAAGGTCTGTTGTATGATGATGATGATGCCATTAAAATCTGAATTTACTTTTAAACATGATATTTATGTTCCCACTGTAGACCAATGCCTTCCTGTAGCTCCCGGTCACAGGGTGTGTGTGTGTCTTGAGGTGCAGCAGGGCATAGTGCCAAGTCACAGGGGTCACAAATAAAAGATGTAGAGCTTGTAATTACAAAGTGATGTGTTTTAAAATTACAGAGGAACCCCTGGGACACATGACATTGTGTTTGGCAAGCGTCAGCACTATCTTTATAACACTGACTAAAGAGGACTCTTTCAGAAAGCTGCAGCACATCTGTGATGGCCATAGCTGGACAGTGCCACGTGGCAGACTCTGGCTGTCTGGGTGGCAAAGTGTACCTGTCATGTATATACATACAGCCTTATGTGAGAATAAGTAGTTGTTAGCTGGTCTTGTACATCACGCTCTGTACCTAGCTGGCCTTGGGTGTTTCTCTGCTGTCCCCTGAGCATATGAAGAAAAATACATGCAGATGCAAAAAAATGCAATACATTACCTCCAGTATATTGGCATCTCAAGATCAGTTGAGCCATATAATATACAGCTGAACTTATGTGCAAATCTTAGGATCTGGCCCCCTTACCTCACTGCTAAGCACTCCTATTGGTCCTTTAATATTATAAGTGGTCTTAATGTTAAGGAGGTTTGGGAGGTAGAATCTTTGGGGCCAAGCTGTAGCTGAGCCCTGCATGTACCTTCTGCTGTATTGCAGGATCTACTGGTCACCTTGACATAAGTTTTCTTTTCAGACTGTAACCTCTGCTTATAAATTTTGTCATCCTATGCTCACTTTGAATTGTCCAAGTGTCAGGCCAATTGTGACAAGGTCACCTTAAATACTAGTTCAGTGTTTTGTGATTCGTTCCACTTTAAGGCGTCCGCTCCATATTGTATTCATTTTCTGAGACGTTGTATCGTTGTAATTATTCCTTCTTCGGTCCGCCTGTCTGTGTAGGAATAGGGGATTGTGGTTAACTGTGTCTGTGCTTGTTTCTGGGTGTGTTCTGGATGTCTCCAGGGCTGACGAAGGCCTCGATGCTCTAGGCAGACATGCCTAATAATTAGGCACTTGTACACAGCTGTTTGTAAAGGACCAGGTAATACCAGATGTTTCCAAATAGGAGGTGTGGGTTACCTGGTCAACATCGCTAAATATATACTGTATATATATTTTTTTATTGTGCATTAGCTGTGATATTCTGCTTTGAAAATCATATATAGCATGAAGAGATAAGTTAAACTGAATGCAAAATTGTCGCAAAATAGAAATTGTACATAAGACATACTAAAGACAATGGCCATTTCCAAAGCCTGGATATTTATCGCCATACCATACAAGCCATACAAGGAAGAGAAAAAATGGACCCATGACATCATTGGACAGGCCAGAAGATCCTTGGTAAAAAGAGAAGAACTAAATCTTCCTTTTTGAAGGCTGAAGTTGAAGAGCATTAAGAAAAATGACAATGCTGGTAACTACAACGTTTTACTGGGACGGCCAGGTGCAGACGATCAATGCGAGAATTAAAACAGTAGATATTAGGTGGAAAACCCATATCCTGTGAGTTTAAAGCAGCCATTCTCAACCAGGGTTCCAAGGAGCCACTAGGATTCCTCCAGAGGTTGCTAGAGATTCCTTGAGCTGTTGCTGATTGACCTTCAATCTGATTGTGCCTTCACAATGGAGCCAACACCACTTGGAAGAGCCAGCATCATGAAAGCAATTATTCTATTTAGTTGTCTGTAAAGGTGCCAATCTGACCACCAATGTAAGATGCATTTTTCCAACTGATTCCAGATGAAGTTTTCAGCAGGGATTCCCCTAGACCTGAAAAGCAATTTAAGGGTTCCTCTGGGGTAAGAAGGCTGAGACCTTTTATTTTTTTATTTTTGATAGAGTAGGCAATGGAGTTAAAACTACTGTCCATTTTCTGCCATATGTATCCAAGTGACGAGATTTACCTTAATTTCCTGTCATGTAAACACAATAGGAAGTGAAAGGAAATATCTCCAAAGTGATGTACTGTAAGTGCCCTCTTAGAGCAGAACAAATGTCCCCATTGGAAGTTCTCCACTACTGTGCAGTTCTGGTGACACATCAGTATTTTGTATGTTCCTCACTTTTAGGCCTCATTCACACTGCTGCGCATTTACGCGCGTACGTGCGTATTGTACCATATGCAACATATGCAAATAAATGGCTCCATACACATAGCCGCGTATGGAGCCGTATATTTGCATAGCGTATATATGAGCAAAAACAGAATGGAACAGAGATGCGTCCGGGCAGCGTATTTCTGCGTATTTACGCGCACATACGCGTGTTTATGCGTTTATAAGCGTATATACGCGCGTATACGCACGTACATGTGTACAGCACATTCCATAAAAATCCCATTACGAGTGATGCATTCTGGGATTGCATATAGTGCACGCATATACGCTCGTATATACGCGCATAGACGCTCGTACATACGCGCATAGACGCTCGTATATACACAATATGCAATTTTGCTTGCGTTGTGTATGATTGAGGCCTTAGTCTTGGTGACAGAGGTGAATATTCCTAACAGAGACACAGACAGCAATAAAAACCATTATTTCAAAAACTGTTGCCTAAGATACACTTTAAATGTAAAATGTCCATGTTTGACTGGAACGTACCTATAATCATATCAGTATCTCAAGCCTGATCATGTGATCTGGATGGTTTGATAACCTTCGTAGCTGCCTGCGGGGCACCTCTTTACTCTCAGCATTTTATGCTTGCTTACTGCCAAAACACCGTAGCTGGCACCTGTACAGCCTAAATCCGTTACACTTTGAGGGCAAATCCGTGAGATTTGCTTGGCTGAAATTCAAGGGTATTTCGAAATCCGTGCCTTCGCTGAGGATTTCTGCAAAGATTTAATATGTTTATTGTCCTCTCCGGTCCAGACATTCTCACAGGGCTGTATTGGTCTAAATTTAGAGTCATCTGCGGAGTCGGTTTTGTATAGATTGAATAAGAATTACACTCTTGACCCTTTTATTTAAAAATGAATGGCATTTTCCTGTCTTGGTGTGCAAAGTCTGCATTTCCGTGGTATGCTTATTGAAAACAAAAATTGCCACATTAAGCACTAATTGTATCTAAAATTGGTACCTAATGTACAATCCATTATCATTTTTGGAAAACCTATATGTGTGTGAGTGTGTGTAGTCACTCTTCCTTTTTAGAATGTTGTAGCTGAGCAGATTATTTGGGGTCAGGTTCCCCCGTTGCTTCACTAGTTCTTCAGTTCTGACAAAGTCCTGAAACATCAAGCAAGTGAGCACTAGGAGACCTTGGAAATACATTGCAATCAATAGAAAGATTAGAGTCACACAACTCAACAATTTTAAGATGAGATTACCCACAGCTAGTTCATTCTGATATTGTATCCATTAAGAAGGTTTCAAAGAAAGGTCTATCATGGGATCCCTATGGCATTATACTCATTATCATCATTATCATAAGCTAAAATTAGATGTCAAACTTACAAAAAGGCACTTAAAGTAGAGCTCTAGACTTTTTTAACTTCTAGATCAGATATGCATTACAATATGTGCCACCACTGGGGAGATTTCCCAATTTTTCCTGTTCTGGTAATACAACAGGAAGTAAGGAGATCTTCTCGGTAGAGTCATTGACCGAGGTTCTAACCCTTCCCTAGTCTGCTGTTTAAAGCGCTATCACTTTCTCTGTTTCCATTGGTGAGATTCACCTAATTTTGCCTCCCAGTGTCACAAGAAGAGCTGAGGGTGAATTTCCTCAATGGGAAGACAACAATAAAATACTGGCAGAAGTTATGACCCCCATACAAAACAAAAAAAAAGCTTTGCTGGAGTTTTACTATAAATAACTGTAGACCCTCTTGCCAGACCAATTATTTTAACTAAAATGTTTCCATAAGATTATATGTGGATGTAATGTATCTTTTAGAGGCGCACCGAAATGAAAATGTCAAAATTGAAACGAAACCGATATGAAAAAAAATTCCGGGAAAATATACTGGGTATCAAAACAGATCCTTGATATTTCCCTTTTAAAATAGAAAAGAGATTTAGGACAGAGTCCTCAGAGAACACAGAATCCTCAATCTCTTTTTCTGCAGCCCCTGTTATCAATGAACAGAAAGCCTCTATACTGAGTTTTCCTGTTCATTCATAACTTGAGGACATAGTATGTTTACTATATCCACAATCATGAATGAACAGGAAGTGCCTATAACAGTAAACATACTCTGTCCTCAATTATGTACAAACACTCAGCGATCTCTGATGACTGACTGCTTGTACCCGCTCTCCTTCCTGACACACTGTCACAGGAGGCTGGGCGGGATGGTGCAGGAGGAGAGCTCAGCCTCCTGTGACAGCAATGGCTGTCTCCGCCCACACCGCCACCCTCCTAATCCTCCTAATCTGTGACAGGAGGCTGAGTGGTGCGGGGAGGAGAGACGCCGGCTGCTCACTGCGCTCTCTTCCTCCCGCACCGCTCGGCCTCCTGTCGCAGTTTCTCTCCTCCCCGCTGGGACACAGAGCAGCGCCCAGCCGGGAGGAGAGAAATCACGGATGCACTGATATTTCGACCAAAAAAATTGCACTTTCGAGCATTTTGCCAAAAGTGCAATTTTTGGCCGATATGTTTCGGCGGCCGATATAGCGATGCATCCCTAGTACTTTTGCATGTTATTTACCCATTATGTCCCTTATGTAGACACCCAGGTGCCCTGAGACTTCTATGGGGCTCTGCCATCTTTAATGTGATGTCACCAAACCCTGTAGATTCAGAGCTCTCTACTCTATAGTATTCCCCTTCATTCCTCCGCTGGCAGCTACATAAAGGGTTATGTAGGCAGGTGAGGGGAGGGGAAGAGGAGCTTGGCCAGCATAGAGACACTCCCAGAAGAGGGGAGGGCTATACAAACCAAGGAGCCTGTGCAAAAGAATTGACTTTTCCTTGGCCAAGCCTAAAGGCACATTGCAAGTGAATAAAAATTAATTTATGGATAGGAAATAACACTGCAAGAAAGCATTTGAAATACTTAATTGTTCTATACTTTTACCTGTCATTTTCAAGTTCATGACAGGTTCTTTTTATGTGTTTATTTTAAAAACAAAAGTACTTTCCATTATGTATTTAATTTTTTTTTTCTTGTAATTAACCTTGCAGGTTCCATCCTGGCCCGTAACGTCTCCACCCGATCGTGCCCTCCGCGGACAAGCCCCGCGTCTGATGTGGAGGAAGATGAAGAGGAGTTAATAGATGGCAAGGGGTAGGTTACTAGTATTATATGTAATTAAAGGGCTGGATCACAACAGGGAGGCAGTACTCATCATTGACTTGTATTAGGGGTTTTCAAGTGTAACGTCTTACGGTACTAGACCAGACAGCTCTGAGGTATGATTACACTGTCTACCAGTTTAATTACCCTTTTGTGGCCTCCACTAGTTTCTTTTTTATATTTCTTAAATATGAACCAAAGCACATTCTTGCTAAGGTTTTAGCTTTCCATCATCACTGCAATAAATTCTGCTCTGATTGCTACAATATACCATGAGAAAGTTCAGCTCCTTCTTCTGCTCACACACAAAAGGATCAGCCATTTTATGGGCTAATCCAGTGCTGAGAAGTAATCAAGTCAGTACTTTAGCAACCATGTCATCACCAAGGAATGGTGGAATCATCCATTTTGAACCAGTGACATCACTGAGGAACAGCCAGGCAGCCATTTGTGTATCAGTCAGTCAGGAACCTCCTAGCACTGGAAGACAATTTGGAATAGACTTGCATATAACTGACTATTAAAATGTATGAAGAATGAGGCTGTCGATTGTCCACAACTGAGTGTCCAATTATCTTAGGGGACCAGGAAGAATTATTTCCCCTGTTGGAGCAAATCAGACCACACTTTATAAAGGTCTTGGTGAATGACAGCCAGGAGAGAGAGCGAGGGAGGTTTTTTTTTCGTTGGCAGATCTCATGTAGCTCGTCATTTGAAAAGTAGATCTTAACACAAAAAATTGTGGGCACCCCTGGTCTAGGGGCTTTGTAAGGTGTTTAGGGACCAGAGGACGCAATTTTTAACTTATGTATTTTTCTCTTTGGTTAAGCTGGATGGACACGTGTCTTTCTTCATCCTGACTAACTATGTGCCTGTGGTTGCTGTAGACAATGGCACCATATTTTCTTTCCTTCAGTTTTTATACATCAGCTGCTCAGTGAATAAGTCATCTCGCCTGGCCTGGGCCAAGGTGCAAGGGATTCTGGGTAGGATGTGTGCAAAGGACTCCTCCGTTTCCTATACAGTCAATCACCCTCATCAATAAAACATTACAGTTGTTATTTTTACATTCCGCCCTCTCAAGCATTCTTCGTCCCTCTCTTCATAATGAAAGACTTCCCTGTTTTCTTTTTTTTCTCCTTTTACAAGTTCGAATTCCCTCTCGGAGGCAGCGAGTGAGACTGCTGTGACCTGGTCCAGCTGGCACTCGTAATGTTTCTCTGGAGACCACTGCAGACAGTCTGCTGATGTGTTGTGCTTTCCCTGATATTTAAACCGCCTGCCGCCTATTATTCAGCTATCGTTCTGCAGTTCAGCCCATTGAAAGCTGTGGTTTCTCTTCCTGGACAGTGTTCCCTTCCATGTTAAATGGCTGCCCCATAAAAACACAAGTCTTGGCACTTATAAATAGAAAGCTTTCGCCTTCGAAAATCATCCACCTTACACTGGGTTCAGTTTACGAAAAGGCTCCCGGGGAAAAAAACACAGAGGCTACATTAGAGTGCCTGCCTGTATTCTGCAACAGATAGACAGTCCTATTCATATTGCAAAGCTTGGTCTAGATGCTGCAGAGCCTGGACTTGCAGTATCTGGCCTTGTTGTCGGAGAACCCAGTCTTGTTGTACTGTCTGGTCTTGCAGCAGAGCCTCACCTTGTTGTTGAAGAGCATGGCCTGATTGTAGCATCTGGTCTTCTTGCAGAACCCGGCCTTGTATTTGCAAAGCCTGGTCCTGTTGCAGTGCCTTGCTGAGTTGTTTGGTCTTATTATTGCAGTGCCTGGTTTTGGCTTTGTTGTTGGAGCTCTTAGTATGATTGCTGCAGGGCCTGGTGTTGTTTTTGTGTAGACTTATTGAGGGCTTGGTCTTGTCATTGCACAGTATGGTTAGGGTTGCCACCTGTCCAGGATTCACCCTGGGCTGTTTTTTTTTTTGTTGAAGCTCCTGGTCTTGTTGTTGCAGAGTATAGGCTTGGTTGTTGTTGTGCCTGGTCTTGTTGTGGAGGGTCCTTCTCTTGTTGCAGAGCTTAGCTTTGTTTCTGCTGTGCCTGGTCAGTATTGTGGGGCCTTGTTGCAGAATTTGGTCTTGTTGCAGGGCCTACTCTTGTTAGGCTGCCTGGTTTTGTTGCTACATAATCTGGTTTGGTTTTGCAGGGCCTTGTCTTGTTCCAGAATCCGGTCATATTGTTACAGTCTGGCCTTGTTGTTGCACGGCCTTGTTGTTAGAATGCCTGGTCTTGTTGTAAGGCCTCATTTTATTGTTGATGTTCCTGGCCTTGTTGAACTTGTTGTTGTGGAGTCTGGTTTGTCCATTCAATTCTTATAGAGCTGCATTATATTAAAATGCGTGGGTCGCAGTGCAAGGTTTTATCTGCAGTGGTGTAGTTGCCAATCATACAAGGCTAAAAAATGCTTGAAATACTGTCTACAATGACGTTGTTATGCTAGAATTCTCCTATATGTAGGAAAATACTTCTCTATAATTGAAGTGTACTTAAAGTGACATTAAACCCTCAGATATTTTAACATAAACCAATACTGTAATGTGTGCCTTACTGTAATCCATGGTTGTTTCCCTTCTCTTTGCTGCTCTTCCTTTTAAATCTGTATCTGTTCTCATGCTGGGCAGAACTTCTGTTTTGCAGCAGACGGCCTTGTCTCTGGAATGGATACACAGTGTCTGTGTATAGGTTTGTATAGGCTTGTAACCTGAGCCAGCACTACAGGAAGAGGCCCTGAGCTGAAAAGGGAAGTTCTCCCCAAGCATGAGAAGACATGGGGATTTAAAAGGAAGAGCAACAAAGAGAGGGGAAACAACCATGGATTACAGTAAGGCACACATTACAGTATTGTTTTATGTTAAAATATCTGAGGGTTTAATGTCACTTTAAATGCATTTTGGATAGAGTAGGGAAGTGTTAAGAGTGTGGATGGAGGAACCTGTTTGATTTTTTTCTATTCAGCCCACAGGCTGAACAAAAATAATCTACTTGTGTATGGCCAGGTTTTTGGAAAATCCCCTCTGAGACAGTTACAGGAACAGGTGTTCCTATTCATTACGGTTCTGATGATAACTGTAACATTTTGGATTTGCTATTACATTCTGTTCTAGAGACAATGGTCACCAGGACAACAGAGAAATTGAATCTCCTCAGAAGGCTCACATACAGAAAAACCCCCCAGAAATCAGATAGCCGAACCCCTCACCACTATCTGAAACTATAAAATATACTGCCTGGCCAAAAAAAGTCACCACCTGGATTTCGGGCAGTGATCTGGGGTTGCTTCAGTTGGTCATGTCTGGGTTCAGCAACGTTATGTGCCCCCAAAATGAGGTCAGCCAGGTTTTTCCTTCCCTTATGGCACATTGGGCATATTCCAAGATGACAATCCCAGGATTCATCAGGATCGGATTGCGAAAGAGTGGTTCAGGGAGCATGAGACATCATTGTCACACATGAATTGGCCACCACAGAGTCCAGACCTTAACCCCATTGAGAATCTTTGGGATGTTCTGGAGAAGATTTTACACAGTGTTCCGACTCTCCCATCATCACTACAAGATCTTGGGGAAAAATGAATGCAACTCTGGATGGAAATAAATGTTGGGACATTGCATAAGCTTATCGAAACGATGCCACGGCGAATGTGTGCCGTAATCAAAGCTGAAGGCGGTCCAATGAAATATTAGAGTGTGTGAATTATTTTTGGCCAGGCAGTGTAAATAAAACACAGCTTTGGCTTTGTATGACATGTTTTTTTGGTTATTCTTCGTGTTTTTTCCACTCCGTGTTTTTCTCGCTCTCTCTTTTTCTTTTATATGTCCCTCCTAGTTCCACTTTATAATTCAAACTCCCCCTGGAACACATCTTCTCTGGTCTTTTGTACAAACAGGAAAAACAGATGGCAATCCATCCTCATAAAATCTTCCCCGAAATGCTTGCGTTCTCCCTGAAACCATTTTTAAAGGGGTGATGACCTTCTCCTACTTAGCAACAAGTGAATTTCAGATAGTAAACCTGGTCAGGCATGTTGAATACTGTGTGCATGTTTTCAGTTCATTTGCCTCATAATCATAAATCAGATTTGCAGCAAATTTCCTGGGGCCCTGGAAGGCCTTACAGGCATTGATGGGCCCGGGACAAAGGTCACAGCCATCAGGCATCATGTGCCTTTTGCTTAGAAGTAAAAAGGTAACTAGAATACAAAGCTGCATCAGTTTGTGCGTTTTATATCTGCCTGCAATTCAGCTTTAAATCAGATCAGTTGGCAGTTAAAAAGTAGATTTCATGTCCCATTTTGCAAAATAATGAATGATGAAACTTGATTGGTTGCTGCAGGCAATGGTTTCCAGTTTTTCAGATTGATTCCAGCAGATCCAGTTCAGATTTGAACTTTAGCTCTCTAGCTGATGTTTCGGTGGCAGGTTTGACTGACAGTGATTGCTATGAGATTATACAGACCGCCTGAGACAGTCCTTTCCTCAGGCACATCAATAAACAGGGCCAAGCGTCACTCATAATGGGCTCAGTGCTGTCAAGCTGTGAGTGCTCAGAACTGGGCCACACACCTTATTCCTGTAGGAGACTATTTACATATCTCTTCTCATTTCCATAACAAACATACAGGTAAAAAGGAATCTGGCACAATGCATATTAAGTATTTTCCTAAAATAGCTCAAAATGCTGCTTATCATTGGAGCATTGTAGAGGTACATGTGTGCCACCTGCTGGGCGAATTGAGTATTACAACAGATTCAATTTTTGCAGAAATGAGAAACCTCTAAACTTAGGGAGAGGTTTAAATTAACCCTTTAAAACATTAATTGGGGCGAGGTATACGGCTGTTGTCATTTTTTAATCCCAGAGGGAGATAGAGAGAAAGAAAGGTGCACTATATTGCCAAAAGTATTGGGATACCGGCCGTTACATGCACATGAACTTTTATGGCATCCCAGTCTTAGTCCGTAGGGTTCAATATTGAGTTGGCCCGCCCTTTGCAGCTATAACAGCTTCAACTCTTCTGGGAAGGCATCCACCAGGTTTAGGAGTGTCTCTATTATTATTATACAGGATTTATATAGCGCCAACAGTTTGCGCAGCGCTTTACAATATAAGGAAGACATTACAATCACAATACAATTCAAGACAAGATGGTTAGGAAGGCCCTGCCCATGATCTATGGGAATATTTGACCATTCTTCCAGAAGTGCAATTGTGAGGACAGGTACTGATGTTGGACAAGAAGGCCGGGCTCGCAGTCTCCCCTCTAAATCATCCCACAGGTGTTCTATCGGGTTGAGGTCAGGACTCTGTGCAGGCCAGTCAAGTTCCTCCACCGCAAACTCCCCCATCCATGTCTTTATGAACCTTGCTTTGTGCACTGGTGCACAGTCACGTTGGAACAGGAAGAGGCTATCCCCAAACTGATGCCTTAAGAGTTCCCTTCACTGGAACTACGGGGCCAAGCCCAACCCCTGAAAAACAACCCCGCACCATAATCCCCCCTCCATCAATTAGAAAATCGTACAGGAAAAGAAGGCTTTTAAAGCATTGACGGAAATTAATCAAATCAAGCAAATTTCTATTCATTCCCTTTTACTGGCGGATTTGGGTGGACTTCACAGGTAGAGATAGCGGATAAGGGCTGAGCTCCCATGGTCAGCGCATTGTTTTCAATGATGGGAGGGACCTGAGAAAAGTGAATGTCGGTCTCCTCAGGGGTGATGTCTCAAGTACACCATGTATTGTTTTTGGAAGCTTTCACTTATTTTCATATCCTTGCCCAGTTCAGCATCATATGATTGTACTGTGACACATCTATTCTCTCCCTTTTCCTGAGCACAAGCAAATTCCTTGTAACACCCAGCTGCGCCAGAAAATAGTGAGCACTGGGCTCAGCATCCTGTCACACATCATATTTCAGTATGGTTAAGGTAGATGTAACTGAATGGCATTTAATTTGCTAAAGCCCTGTGTATCATAAACAAGTCCGTTCTCTAGAAAAATGTAATATCGATTTTTACCATTTCTCATCCTTTGTTGCCTCTCAGTGCTGCAGTTCTGACCTACTGCAGCCAGTTTGCAGCCACTTTCTGTCTCCATGCATTCCATCAATGGCTTCATGGCATTTCTCAGAGCTAGATTCGTGATGGATGATCCAGAGGCGTCCCCAGGCATGGTGTCACCCGGTGTGGCTGGCAGGGGACGTCGTCATGCATGTGACGTCATCGTGCACACATGATGTCATTGTGCAGACTTAAATGCCAGCAGTCATCTTAGTGATGGGGGGACATTCATCTGGCGGGATAAGGTATGCCGCCAGGCCCCCCTCCTCTCTCTTACAGCTGTCAGGCTCTTGGTCCATGACCGAGTGCCCAACTTTTCAGAGGAGGTGACACCACAATGACTGTCAGTCATTTTGTTGTCATCCCCTCTGATGGTGTCACGCCACTGGGATGATCAGATGCCGATGTGATAGAAGGGGTAGAAGCACAATTGAGAGATGACAACAGTGTTGTCACTCTATAACTGGAAGTTTCTGCACAAGGACCTTCATGGGATCTATATGATCCTTATGGGTGATATTTTAATGAAAGTTGCAGAAATTTATAGATAGAAAACAACTTTGGAAATCGCATTAACATGTAGAAGATTATATGAGTGTATAGGTTTATAGAGACTTTACATACCTTTTGGAATAAGGAACAAGCATGAAACTAGGGACAGACATGCTGTTATTGGGTGTCAGAAAAGTGGCAGAATTCCTGATTGTTATACTTGTTCCTTATCGCTATACTTGTTTCTGTATTGGCATGACGATATGTCTGTCCGAGCAGCTTTCTGACCACTCGTGGGTCTTTATCAAGATCTACTTACATTATAAAAGAAACATATTTTTGCAGACCTGTTTGCTCCGCATTTGTACTGCTTCAGGGAACAGGACAATACTGGCATCCGACTCTGAATGGGAAAAGCCACCATTGACAGGTTCCCTTTAAAAAAAAACGTATATTGAGAGAAATACTAGGGATGCCATTGTTGACTTCTTTCTGAAAATGCTATTGGTTTGGATGACTCTGGTTTCATTACCTTCTGAGATCGAGCATACAGATTGGAAAGTCAGAACTCCTAAATTGCCTGCTGGCCTGAGCTCAGTGACTAGAAAATAGTACAAGTCCTTGGATAGGTGACAGCCCGGCAGCTAGTGTTTTCAAAAGGAGCAATGGCATCACGTCAAATGTTGATGAATAGCTGACCATCACACCTATATGAGCTTTTTGGATATTCTATTTAAAAACCATGGGTATTAATATGGCATTGCCTCCATTTTTGTGAAGGCTTTTAAAAGGTATTGGTGTTTGACAGGGTCAATTCATAACTATTCATCCAAAAGAGCTTTTGTGAGGTCAGGGACTGATGTCGGATGGAAGGACCTGGGTTGCAATTTGCTTTTCCATTTCATCTCAAAGGTGTTTAGTAGGGTTAAGGTCAGGACTCTCGTTCCTCCACACCAAACTCATCAAACCATGTCTTTATGGAGCTGGCACAGGGACAGTCATGCCGGAACAGAAGAGGTCCTTCCCCAAACCGAAGCTCACAATTCTCCAAAATGTCTTTGCATGCTGTATCATTAGCAGTATCATTCAGGGCCATGTAGTGATCTTTCTCAGCTTTCAAACCTGCTTTGGGTGAGATATTTAAAGTGGCATTAAAGTAAAAAAACCTTTTTCCCTCCCCGCAATGTTATTTAAAGCACTTACCTTAAATGATGTCTCTTAATCCGATCTTCTTCTTTCCTGTCCTTTTCATCTGTCCCTCCAGCGCTGCGGCGGGTCCGATCCAGCGCTGACTCCTCTGAGCTTGCTGGCATTTCCTATCCCACGGAGTCTGCATGCGGGTGCACGCGTCCATAGACTTACCTTGTGTCTCTTTTCACGTCCCGGCCGAAAAAGTGAACTGCGCATGCGCCCGCCCCAAGATGCTTTGCGGCCGACCGATAAATTTCACATTTTGGGACGGGAGCGTGCGGGGAAGACACGGGTAAGTATTAACCCTTTTCAAAGAGGTTTTTTTCCCCCACTTTTGGCGTATATCTACTGCTTGCTAGCCATAGATATATGCAAAAAATACGGAGGGTTTAATAACCCTTTAATAGTGTTTTTATCTACTTATCCTCCAGAGGGCCTCCAAGCTCCTACACAGATGATCATTTTAGAAAACAACCTCTCTGCATAGATAGGACTACTCCATAAATACCATTTTCTCTTTGCACTTGTGTAAAATGTACTAAGGATTTAAAGAAACCTTTGTGTCAGCCTTGTAATGGATTTGCTAATCATTAATGCCTTGACAACAGAACACCAAGACACTTCAGTTTTGCATACCTCCCAACTTGATGAGAGAAGAGAGAGAGACACCATTTAGGGCAAAGTGTGTAGGCAAATGACACACCCTTTCCACTCCATCAGTTACGCGGCCCATCAATCAATACGCAAAAATGACTGACTAAAACCACAAGTGGTTTTTCCACAACGATATTTCTGTCTTGCTGGCTCTTCAGCATAACAAATGCAATCATTTAGAGGTTAGAGGAAAGTTGTAGGGTTGCTTCATACCAGTGAGTGTACGTTAAGGTGCTCATAATATGTGTGCTGCTTTGTGTTGTGCATGCACACTGGGCTACACTATAAAAACGCATCTCAGAGCTTGCTTTTTCTTTTCATTTCTTTTAGCGCAATGCTTTCATAATAATGGGTACAGCAGATTTGCAGACCCGGGAACTCAGCACAGGGATGACGGGCACTCCTCATAATGGGCTCAACAAGTGTGCAGAACAGGGAACTCAGCGGAGGAATGGTGGGAGCCTCTCATAATGTGCACGGCAGGTGTGCAAACCTGAGAACCCAGTTCAGGGATGGTGGGAGCTCTTCATAATGGGCACAATAGGTTTGCAGACCCGGGAACTAAGCACAGGGAAGGCGGGAGTCCCTCATAATGGGTACAGCAGGTGTCCACACAGGGGAACTCAGCACAGGGATAATGGGAGCCCCTCATAATGGGCACAGCAGGTGTGCAGATACAGGAACTCAGCACAGGGATGGTGGGAGCCCCTCATGATGGGCACAATAGGTTTGTAGACCCGGGAACAAAGCACAGGGAAGGCGGGAGCCCCTCATAATGGGAACAGCAGGTATGCAGACCTGGGAACTCAGCACAGGGTTGGTGGAAGCCCTTCATAATGGGCACAGTAGGTGTGTAGACCCAGGAAATCAGAGCAGAGATGGTGGGAGCCCTTCATAATGGGCACATCAGGTGTGCACACCCAGGAACTCAGCTGGGGGATACCACTAATAGGATCCCTGAGAGACTGAGAACACTGTCAGATGGTTATCTCTCTGGTATCTACCAATCAATAAAGTATCAGTTTGGGGTGGACTAACCCTTTAATTTCTTTCAAGTTCTCTTATGCATCATTTTGAATGTTTCATTTTTTGTTCTTTGTTCCTTTCATTGCATCGTGCAGAGAGAAGAAGGCTGCGGGGCTGAAGATAGCAAAGAAGAAAACGAGGAGAAGGCACACAGATGTAAGCCTCTGTTCCATTTTTTTTGTCATAGTGATGTAAATATTCCCCTACATGTGTGCGCTGAATGCGTAATTCCTACTTCCTCCCCAGGGGCAAACGTCCAGCTGGAGCCTAACTGCAACATAATGCCCTTTCCTATCAGAATAACATGTCTTACCTGACCGACTCAATTATCTTTTCTTTGTTGACTGAGCAGAGTGGATGGCCAAGGCTTGTGTGTGGGTTATAACGTCAACTAGCCTTTGCCCACAGTGAAGTTTGCTTCACCAAAGCAATCCTCCTTCTATAGCGTGATCAGTAAACCTTGGTCAATAGGAATGACCTGTGATAATTCCTTGTAATAGCTCACATTTTAAAAGAATTGTAAAAAAATTAAAATTCTTTTGATCGGTACTCACCTCTCCGCCGTCTTCCAGGAGTTCCGTCGGAGATCCGCTGACGTCACGGACAACGACGTCACCGGACTTCTCCCCCCTTCCTCAAGTGGCCCTGTCGGCTAACGCCGATGATCGTGGCGTCACCGGACTCCTCCCATTCCCTTCGTTAGACGACAGAGCCACAGTTACAGCATACGGTCGCTGGGAGAGAGGCAATGAGAAAAAGCTTTCTCCTGCCTATATCTCAGCTTAATTAAAGTCAGCTGTCTGGAGCACAAGGACTGTTTTTCAACAGAAAAGTCTGTTGCTGTCAGCAATTTTTGGATGCAGACTAATGAAGTTTGTCCATCAATTTCCCCCAATTTACTCCATCCCCTCCTACAAAGTCATAATTAATTCTCCAATGATGCGGTTAGCATCAGGGGAGCACAGTGATCATCTGACTATGTACTGGCTAAAACTGTTGGGCAGAACTGGCAATCCTGGTTGAGATATCTAATTATTGGAGTTTCTGAGAGGTAATATCAGGGCCATCAATGGCAGTCCTTCTTTATCGGTCCCCATCGGACATCGACGCCACCGGACTCCTCCCCCCTTACCTTCGTTAGCCGACGGAGCCACTTGGGCCGGTGAGTTTGCCCAAGAAACTTTCTGCACGAGCGCCAGCCAAGGCATTGGCCTATACACATACAGCACAGCAATGAAGTAATAAAATGAATTAGGATCACACTAATCCAGCACGTTATTATTCTGAGTTGCCCCACTCAAGCGGCGGCCATATTGAGTGGGGTACGTGAGAGTAATAACATGCTGGATTAGTGTGATCCTAGTTCATTTTATTACTTCATTGCTGTGCTGTATGTGTATAGGCCAATGTAGTTGGATCTGTATGTGCGTTATAATTAATCAAAATTAATCGATTAAAAAAAAATTCGATTAATCAAACACGAAATTGTTAATCAGTAACAGCCTAAAAAAAACCTATACAGAGATTGGGAGGCAGCCGTGCCTTATATCTACACTTATGATTTACACTTACACTTATTACACTGATATTTTCCAAGATGGAATTCTTGACAAAAGGTAAATCTTTCAAGGTACTTTATAAGCAAAATGACCAATCCTAGATGTTCTCTATGAAAAAAACATTTTGAGTTCAGCTCCACTTTAAAAATAGCTTACAGGGCCTCCCAGAAGCCTGTAGATACAGGAACATAATCCAAACCCAACAACCATTCTTACAAGTATCAGAATTGCCATACTGCCAGTTCAGGCCCGGCCTTTAACATGGCTATTTTATTCGACGAGCACAGAATTCTGTAGAAAGAACTGAAAAATAATTGTATCAAATGCTTTAAAACACGACAGCATGTAAGGACATGGAGGGGTGGTGTTTTGGGACTTGGTGTCAGAGGTTTCATCATCTCGGCACATTAAGTCTTTCCACCTGGGAGCAGCCTGAAGGTATGAAAAGTAAGAGAAGGACTGTGCGTGGCCTTGATTATTATTTTGCTTGTGGAGGAGGTAGATCTTTTTTTTTGACCTGTGTAAGCAATACAACAATCGTGCAAGAAAGGGCAGCCCATACTACATAACTGCCGCCATCACTGAAGGAACCTGGAAGATTTCCACCACCTTTCTCTATCCAGAGATATTCAGTGCACACCAACCTTTTTCTCCAAGAGTCTTTAGCCACAAGACACAAACCCCTGGGTTCCCTGACCTTCTGGAGAGCAGGAAGATAAACTTATAAGCTCTTTGAGGGACTCAATTAGTATAGGTCAAAGTGAACCTGCATGTTGCCCAAGCACACCATATCAATAGGTTGACTGTAATGCGCCCAACCCTCCCAGCTACACATACTTTGCATCCCGCTGATCTGCCAGAAGTGAAGATGGACAACCATGTATAAGCTCTTAGTCACTTAGAACTTACAGAGGGCTGAGGGATCTCCCCTACCTCATGTGACAGCACTGCGGCAATCACCAAGGACCGGCTGTTTCACATGGAGTGATTCACATACTCCTTTATAACCAGAGGCACTGAGTATTTTCTTTACTCTTGGCAGCCGGGGCAGGGAAACAAAGGAAAGCTGGGAGGAGGATTTAATGAAACCCTTGTCCTCAGCGGTGTCTCTAGCATAATCTCTGCCTGAGGCGGCTGGTGGTCACGTTGGGGGAGGGGAGGATTGGTGGCGCGATTGATGCTGGTGGTCACATTTAGATATTAGAAGGAGAAGGTGTTGATGGGGTCCTGGTGGTGCACCACCCAGCTTACTGACGTCACTGGTTGCCAGGAGCGGGGCGGGATGCCGGACAGATTGTTCCGCTTAGCTCCTGGGAACCAGTGACGTCACTGGTTACCAAGAGCTTGGTGCCAGAGCATCCTGCACATCTCCTGGCAACCACTGACGTCACTGGTTACCAAGAGCTTGGTGCCAGAGTGTCCCACACGGCTCCTAGTAACCACTGACATCACTGGTTGCCAGAAGCTGGGTGGGACACCAGCTAGAGCATCCTATGTTACTAAAAGCTGGGAGGGGAGATGTGTATGACCCTTACATTCTAACAGTATATGGCTAGCATTAGTCTCTTGGTGGACTTCCTGCTGTGCTGGACCTGGCATCAATGCTCCATTGTTAAAACAGTCCTGATGTGATACAATACAATGGGATCTCCAGGCCTGAACATCTGTCTGATCTTCTGTCTGGCATCGTGTCTGGACAAGCAGACGTATTATCCCATCCAGCAGCCACAGTATCACTTCCTTATACACATAATGAATGATTTGTGGCTGCGAAACAGAATGATCTGTCATGTATTTGGAATAAATGGAGGTCTGAGCACAGCCATGCAGCTCATCTTTATATTTAACGATTGTATCTTTTCCTCCAATGTACTGATTCATGTCATTTCAGAGGCCTCCAGGTTTTCAAGGTTTTGTTCAAACATTTGTCACCTGCTGGCATCACACATGGGATGTAAAATATGCAATCAATAGACATGTGCACTGGCAAAAAAATTGTTAAGTTTCGTTTTAATTCGGATTATGTGTTATTTAGTTTTTCAGATTCGGGTGTGAAAGTCGATTCGGAATTCGGACGAAATTAGTTAGCGGTAGTTCGTTCGAACGTTCGTTTCCTTTTCGTTTTTCATTCGTTCGTTCGCTGCAGCAAAGTGACATTTGAGGGGTAAAATTTTTTTTCTCCTTCTCTAATGTCACTTTGCTGGAACGAAACGAATAAGAAACGTAAACGAAACGAATGTTCGAACGAACTACCGCTAACTAATTTCGGAAATGGAAATTCGGATTCGTTTGCATTCGTTATATCTGTAATTCGCATACATCCCAATTTCCGAAAATTCGTCTGAATTTCGTTTCGGAACGAAACAAATCGCCCATGTCTAGCAATCAATGACATCATATTGTGGCTGGAACGCACTGGATCGCATTGGGCCGGCTCACTTTGTTGTGGGGGCGGGAGGGGGCGTGACGGTCCATTGAACTCAATGGCACAGTTGCCACCTCCTCCAGCCGCAATGTGATCGGTCGCACGGGAACGCAAGGCACATCAATGCCTGCGTTATGGTCCGTTCAGAAAAAATGGTGCAAGCACTATTTTTTCGGATCGGATCGCAAGCATTGACGTGCTTTGCGTTCCCGTGCGGCAGATTGCATTGTGGCCGGAGGGCGGGGCTGCGGTGCCATTCGCTTCACTGCACTGCCCCCTCCCGTCCCACAACAAACTGAGCCGTCCACAATGCGATCCAGTGCGTTCCGGCCACAAGCGGGCCAGAACGCACTGAGGATGGTGTGAACGAGGCCCCAGACTGATCTGGCTCATTCACATGACTGTGTACATTCAGTAACCGCCCTCTCCGCTCCTCCTAAGACCTCCTGCTCTCTAGCTCCCTTGTCAGCTCCCCCCATGCTTTCCTCCAGAGTCTCTCTCATCCTCTGGAACTCCCTACTCCAACCTGTCTGGCTATACCCCAATTCTATCTGCCTTTCATCAATCCCTGAAGACTCAGGGAAGCCTATCCTGCCTCAACCTAACAACTGAACTATCACTTTCTCAAACAATTCATCCCCACACAGCTACTACCTTTTGTAGAACTCGCCCCTCCCTTTTAGATTGTAAGCTCCCATGGGCAGGGGCCTCCTTAGCATCTTGTCTTGGTTTGTATTGTAACTGTAATGCACAAACCGATGGCCCTATATAAGTCCTGTGTAATAATAATAAATAATAACAATTCCAGCTTTGGCTATTGAGCTCTGTAAACAGGCTTTTTACATCAAAGCAAAGCCTAAAAAGTGTCCTAAAGCTCCACCTGCTGGACAAAAAGGAAAATGCTAACTCTTAGCATTGGGAAATCTGATATGTAACTGACTAATAAAGCAAGAAAGAAAATATTTTTTAAATATATATCATTCCTAAATATTCACAAAATCACACCAATTAAAAAATAACAAGTAACTGAAACAATGTCTTGCAAATCTGAGCGTTTTGTGTGAAGCCTGGCAGCCTGCCAGTTGCAAGTAAGAGAGGAGAGGAAAAGGAAAAAGGAAGATGGGAATTACCCAAGGGAAGGGAAGGGAAGCCGAAGTGGAAATGGGGAATTT